AGATTCGTCCATTTCGAACGTCTGTATAGCACATGAAAGCAAATCAAATTACAGAGTCTCGATGAACTACAGAAATTCTGATAAACTTTTCTAACCCGTGAAAAGCTATAGCAACTACTTCTGTAAACTATGATGGAAAATATGCAAGCACTCATCGTAAACATACGCATCAATTCTGTAGTAATAAGATCGGACTACAACAGAATGAAATAATATTCGCGACACGGCATTCATTCGACTTACAGTCAATGGACTTAGTGAATCGATACGATTCACGTTATTTATTTATTTAGAATCTACGTGTAGATTCTAAATACTTTTATATTATTTTCTGTCAATACTAATTTATTTTTAAACTTTTTTTATTTTCGTACATGATATCAGATCACTATCTAACTTATTCCACCCAAGTACAAAACGAGAAAAGAAAGACATTTCGAATCTCTTTGTACCTGTGAGTGTATTTAGTTTGTTGGATGTTTGAGAACGCAAAGCGTGACGGAAATTTAAATTTTTTATTCGATTATCCTATAAGGTTTTTTTGGAATTTTTATTTTAGACCGTTTTTTGCCGAGTTAGTGAAACTTAAGAGGGGTCGTAATCTGACACAATGGAAAACTCGTGAATTGTAATAGTTAAATACTTGAAACAAACACAAAAGACACAAAACACTCCATTGAGTTTCCAATCAATTTTGGAAATATGAAGTCTTAGTGACTTTTAGTTTTTATTTCACAGTGTTTCTGTGGAAAGCTCAAAACGAGGGGAGGGGGGAATTCCCTTAAGGATCTCTCTCTATCAAAAACATATTTTCACCTCAGAATATTCGCTTTTGATAAAATTGGTGTTAGTGTGACCAAGGTTTCTCTGATATTTTGAGTGCTAAATTGCTGGGGCGATTTTTTGCTGCTCTATATACGACTCCCAAATAACGTTGTTGGGGAATATTACGTTCAGATAAAAGATAACAGAATGCTCCCAGGTTATATAATGTGAAGAAATCATTATCTCTCAAGGTTTTATTAATGAGTTTATACAAAACGATTCGAGACTATAATGAACGTCTACTGTTACTACGTGACACTCCTGATAACAACTTTTTCTTTTTACGATGTTGAAGTTTCTTCTAGACTAAATAACTTTCGTGATTTAGGAATCCAGAGAAACTGAGATTTTGTCACTACAATTGCCAACATAGAGACAATATCAACAAAACCAATCATATACAATTTCCTGTCAGTTTATAACATTTATTACGAACTATTTTAGCTCTTTTCACTAACTTTTGCTACTTTGATTCAAATGGTCTTCACTTTCAAAAACTGAATACTGAATGTATTTACAGGTTAAAGTATTGCAATGCTGAACTGTTAGCCTAAAACAGATTTAGGAGTCCAATTTCCTTTGCAACTTTCCTTAAGTAGCTAGGTCCTACTGATGGCTCAACTGTACCTTTGGCTCATCCTTGCTCCAATCGGTGTTTCTAATAGAATTTATCCTCTGAGCGCACGAGTTCGCTCTGTTTATTTTTCGCAAAGCGTAGACGTTTCAAATCTAAACAGAAAGGCATCAGGAATTAGAGGAAAATTAAAAAACAGGTAAATTCAACTGCTCTCCTGTCTTTTCTGTGTTCTAAACAGCAAAATCACTCACTAGTTAAAAAGTTTTTCTTATTTTCTCTTAAATATAAAATAAATTCTAGTAGAAACCAAAGCATATATTGTGTACTCTGCTTTTCTGAGAAAAGCGTAAAAGGGATCGTATTTTTAACTTTCGAAGCATATGATAGATGTTGTTCAAGTGAAAAACAGCTGAAGTTCAGTTCCTGATTATTTTTCCATATGGCTTTCATGGGCTAGTTGATAGATAACTAAAACTGTTGTAATGCTCTTTTCTGCAGATTATTCAAACGAATATACATTATTGGACCTTGATAAATTTAGAAACGGGAATTATTAGGTGAAACACAACAAGTTTATATATCCATTAAAACCAGGCAAGACTAGCCATCAAACATTGAACAAGTTTATATGGATGGGAATAACATGATGTTTCTATTTTGATTCGTTACGTCGTTTATGTTTAAATAATCATGGTAGAAAAACAGAAAAAACAATTGGATAAATTGCGGCAGCATGAAATGAAAGAATTGTGATTCCACATATTAATTTAATATATGATTCAACAAAACAATTGGAAACGATTGGTACAGTTATTATTCAAAGTGCACAACCAAAATATAAAACAACTGATGATATGCTAGTGGATTTGGCAAAGCAGAATCATAATAAAAATGAACGTATGATTATTGTAACAGCTGATCGCGTTTCAGCTGTCCAAGTAAGTAAAGTGACAATTCTTGAGAAGTCGTATATTCCTACTGTTTTATACGTTTTTAGTTGAAGAATGAAGGTTGTCAATTGGTGAAGCCTTATCATTGATTTGCACATTGCATGCTGGTATTAACACCTGATCTCATTAAACAAGATCCAGTTCAATTGAATACAAATATAGATAGTACAACGGCAACAAGAAAACTTGAAGACAATAAAAATGGAAAGATGCATTATGATTTTGATGAATTAGTTAAACGAGTAGCAAAAATTGACATATAAACAAAATCACCAGCTGTTAAACTGACAACAAATATTTAATCAAGAGGACTATTTTCGTCTTAACGATGATGTGAATACACACATTCCACAATAAAAATAATAATAAAGTCGCTTGGCATCATTTTTTCAATTCAAGGAAGAAATAACTCGGACAGTTTTGATCTAACTGACCAAAGTGTGCTGTAAGGATAATGCACGGATTGCCCAATTAATTCTGCTACTGCAGCGAAATTCTGTTACGTTCTGTTTTCACTTTGTTGCTTTCATAGTTTGGTGGACAACGAGATGCCCAGACCTCTGAATTAAAAAGAATAGTATGCTGAGAATTTTGAGATGTACGTACACTTTACACGAGCTTTCGTTCAGAAAATATGACAGAAAGATAAACAACTGGTTTTACTCTTACCTTAGGATTTTGCAAGAAATGTATAAGATTCTTTTTATAGGAAACCTACAGGATATATGCCTATGGAAATATTTTGGTAAACTTCGGGTGACACATCACTAAACTCGATTTTTGAGGCTGAACACGAATATGATGTTGGTTTTTGGTGGAATGTGATTTTTATGGATGGAAAGCCGATTTTAATGTTCAGGAACCTGTTTCCCCTCTGAAATTTAACAGTCTGAATTTCTCGTTTCGTACCTCTGTACAATAACTGCTTGACTACATGATTACGGAAAGATATCCAAAAAATGTTTATCCTCCCGTGCAGAAAAGATATTTCAAAAGTGGCCCTAAGATCCTTCCACGATAGTCCTATAACTAAAAGATCGGTAAAAGTCCTTCACTTAACGTCCACACTATATTTATCTTACTCAGTTTTGGACGCTCTTTCTGCTGGCTTAGGCACAATTTTTTTCACACATTCATTCCTGACGTTAAGTAGTCACACTGAAGAGTATGACACCTTTGGCTTAAAGTCACATTTTCACCCTAAGGAAAAAGTTTATCAAAATTATTTTTTTACCAAAATGTAGTTGGCGCTCTGTACTATAGATTGATGTCGGTTTCATATTTAATCGGAAACGTGACTGCATGTCGGAAGACACACACCAGCTAAAAACAGATATCGGAGTATAGTAAAATACACGCCGATGTTGCCTCAGTAAAATAGGGCAGCAGACGGTTGTTTGTATTACTCTTTCTAGTTTTTTCACGGTTTCAAGCTGTTTATTCTCCCATCTCTTCAAACCTTTCATAATTTTTATCAGAACTAAAACAACTTTGCTGAGTTAAATTCACTTTAAACAAAAAACTTTAAAAAATTTTCAGCCAATTTTATTTTCTGTTGCCTCCTCCTAAAACGCGTTGAAGTCCTGGTTCTATATCCGCTGGATTGCTTACAAGTATGATTTTTGTTTTCGATGATGTATTTTCATGAATTACGTTTAATAAACGATTAAACCAATGAAGTGTTTCTTCTTCTTGTGGAAAGTCTTTATCATGGCCATTAATGCCACCACCTGTGAACACTCAAAACTATTACAATTCAAACAAATGAGAAAAATCTTATCATGTACATACCAATTGAAACGCCATCCCATTCTTCTTCCTTCAATAATTTTATTAAACGTTGATCATTTTCTTGATTATTCTCCAACGATATAACTCGTGCATTTTTATAACCAAGAGAATGCAAATGTTTTTCAGCTTTTTCGCTTGTTTGTTGACCACGACCAAATGCTAATATTTTCCATTCGTAAGATTTTGTTGATGACATGCTTTGCGTATAAAAAGACAGAAAGGTAATGTATGCAAAGCAATATTTTATGTTTGCGTTCTCTTATGGAAGTCGTCAAAATTATGATTGGAACAAACAGAATAATCGTAGAATGTAAAGGGCTTCTCTTTGATATTTGTATAGGAGAGAAAATATATAAAATCTATCTTTTCTTTTCCATTTATCCATTTTTTTGTAAAGATTACTTTTTACTAACTCTTATATATAACACATCAAAGAACACATTAACTGTACTAATTAACTATAGATAATATATATATTCTATGTGGTCTTATCAGCTGCATATATGGTCTTAAAGAAACAGTAACCGTTATCATAGTGGGTTTGTTCAGGGCTAATGATAGAACAAACTCATGATGCTGCTGAACTATACTGTCATGGATATTAGGAACACTCGATTACGTTGTAAGGCGAAAAGTTCTTACTGAGGTAACCATGGTTTTTACTCTAAATTGCTGTGTTGAGATTTCATACTTTCCTACACTGCAGTTCGATTCAGTTCACCTTCCAGTTTCAAAGAAAGCCATTTGTTGATCTTCCTTCTTCGCGTATATAGAGGTGCATATAGAAAGTTCACGTCTATAAAAGAAAACTGAAGAGTTTTATTTTATGGTTTTGAAGATAGATAATGACTGCGGTTCAGTTAGCCATCAAATGCGGTCCTGCAGTGAATACGTAGCTAACTGAATAACTCGAATTGTTTGTTTACTCTTCAGTAAAGTAAAAACTATAGTTTTAGCAAGAAAAAGAGTTGTTGATTATATGTGTTGGATAATATAAGGGAAAACAACTTGGTAGAATCGAGCGAAAGTATGACAAATCTAGAGAGAGTTTTCAGAGACCGATCGGGAGGACATCTTGCCAATTATTCACGTCTCGCCGTGTAGCCAAGTGTAACGGAAGTTCATTTTTTGAAGTTTCGCCGGCCATATCTCGTGAAGAGTGACAGCTGAAATGCTGAAATTCGTATCATACATGTGGTTTACCGACTTCTATTTGGGGTATAAATTTCAGCACTTTAGCTCTTATATTTCCGGATGAAAATGAAAATTAAAGACCGTAACGAAATTTTAAAAAACGGAAATTGGTTTTCACTGCTTCTACTAAAATTTGAATATCTTGGAACAGAAACATTCCTACGCGATCGCTTGATTACCAAATTAAAGCTTCGCTTCTGGGCTATCAGAAACACTAGTCGTTTTTATTCTAGCTACTGAAGTCTCAGTAGGTATGCACCGGTATCGGTATTCATACCGAAATACCGATACCGAAAATACCGACTTTTTTCACTTGGAATTTTTTGGATTTTTTCATTTGAAATGAGATGTTTTAGCGTCCTGGACATCCAGAATGAATCAGGGACGGAAAACAAGAGCTTTGTTTGCTTTCTAAAGCCAAAGTTTTTCTTTTCTTTCTATCTGAACATGCTCAAAATATACAACTGAGTGTTATTTATACGTTCTGCTTGTCCAGGATGCTCAAATACCTCATTTCAAATGAAAAAATCCAAAAAATTTCAAGTCAAAAAGAGTTGGTATTTTCGGTATCAGTATATACCGAAGTTCGGTATTTTCGGTATCGGTATTTTCAGTATTCGGTATACCGATGCCAGTGCATACCTAAGTCTCAGAAAAAATTGGAATAATGACATCGTGACGGCATGTCATCGTTCTGCATTGATTCATTGCAAAAGGTTTATTCCACGATGAAAGTACTTATTTTAACAAGTACTTCTATCCATGATAACACTTAAAAGTATTATCATGGATAGAAATGTGTAGTTTCGACTGTTCTCTACGTCAGAAATGAATTAAATGCTATGCAGTAATAAGATGATGTCCTGCTAAAAGATTATTTGATAGGAGAACGAGAACAAAAAAGACCTTTTAAAACGACAAGAGGAGCATGAGAAGCAGCTTGAAGATAATTTAATTCAGTACAAACAATAACAATCACAAATGGAGAAGAACTGAGAAGAAATTACAAGATACGCTATTGAAGAATCAGCAAGGGCTCCTGCCGTTGGAGGAAAAATTTACAAAAACAACACGAAGGACGTTTAGGAGTAGCAGTATCGATCGCTATGCAACAGAACAGTACAGATGAACACACGACAATATGACGCTGGAAAAAACTGGAGAAAAAATGGAAGTTGTAGAAAAAACCATCTATCATCGTCGAACATCAGTCATTCGGAACTGAATTATGCTATAATTTATTTTTAGATGAGAACAACTGCTTTGTACTTGTGGTACGCTATCCCGTTATTACAAATACATTTGAAGGCATACCACCCCTACATCTAGTGTTCCAGTAGTAAGAACTGTAACAACAACAGCATTTGGATCGGTAAGAATTATGAGGTCAAATGTTTTCATCGAAAAAGCATATTTTTGTTAATGGATTTTTTAGAAACCCTTTCGGAAAACCTTAGAGTTTTGTAAAATCTTTTCATAGATCTCCTATAAACAGGATGCAGAAGAGCCTCGATACTTCACATTCTGAAGTTTTGAACTTGCTGCGATGTTTTTTGAGAGAATAGTGAATTTTTTAATATTAGGTAACAACAACCTGAAAACCCAAATTTTCGTAAAACTGGCTTTTCGCTAGATTTTTTGAAGCTTTTTCTTCAAAAAACTATTGCCACGAGACTTAGTATCATCGTTAATCTATAATCCATCGGTTTTCAAGGCTACCAATGATCACCGGATGCCAACCCTGGGCTCGTAGAAAATCCGATACAACGTCCGAACCACAGGAAATCAAGGAACACTTGGCTTCCTTCCCTTTTGAAGAAGAGATCACGGGCTACCATTCGATAATACAAAATCAGTACAATCCTGAAGGGGTACGTACAAAGAGTTACAGAATTGAACATAACTGGAAATGGATTAAAAACAGTGTTGAAAAGCATATTCTGAAAGCAGAGAGTTTGCGCCACCTGTAGCAGGAAAGAGTTCGGGCACACTTTTCTTGAGTGATGAAAAATTCATTTTCTTTCTGCTAGGTGTCGAGTGCAACACTAAAACATGCATCTCACAAAGAGAAGCAGCAAAAGAACTATTTTTTTAGTGGTGGTAGACTGTGGTTACACTCATAAAATAAAAAATATTCAAGAAATGTCCTTCAGAAGAAAAACAGATATTAATTTTTCGGACTACCATGGAAGTGTGAATCGTTGCTATAGAGTACATGGCACGTTCCTATTACCTGGAAATTCAAAAGTTTCACATTGTATATATACTTTTCTTGAAAAGTATTTGTTTGCATAGAGTGGATTAGGTAAACTAATGTTACTTAGTACTAGGATATGGTACGATAAGGACATATTACGCATAAATATATATGTCTTTACCATTACCTCATACTCTTAGGTTAGGTAAGGTGAGATAAGGTCGGAAAATCCAAACTTTTCACGTTGTATACAAACCGAACATCAGGTATCTATCTTCGGCATGAAACTAGTTTCAAACTCAACCTCGCACTGCTGCTCTGCTCACAGGTACAGATATCCTCCACACACTCTCAAATAGCAGTGCAAGTGCATCGGTGCTGGAGAAATGCTTAGATTTCTATTCTCAAAAAATCTGCGAAAGTTTCGGTTCGTGGAAACGCCGCTTGCGGAAGAGTCGTATCATGATACCTACGTACACGTATAAAACCTCCTTTGAGGTGGTATGAAAATATAAGTATAATATATGACAGCCAGCGTATTTGAATTGTACATACTTTAAAGTTTCCTGACCTTGCCTACAGTGATAACAATGTCAGCGTTTTTGTTTTATTCTCGCATCAAATTGCTATTGAGTTAACTTACTGCTTGCTTTACTCTTTTGCTGTCTTGCTTCGTTAGTAAAAAGACACACCAAATCAAAATAAGACAAACACCATAAGTGTTCAAAAGAGACACGCAAAAAGGTAAATAAATCAGGTTACGAATGACCGATCGTAGTAGCTGTGTCGCTCGTTTAACTATACTATACAGGTTTAACATTAAGATAATAAATAGATAAATGAGTTTTCTTTGTCGTTTTAATTGTCTTAAACGTAATTTTGAAATTATCGTTTTGAAACTGATTTGCCTGGGATTGTGGGACTTTGCGAGTTTACTTGATAAAGAGTCTATATCGAGTGCTCAGAAAGCTTCTTTGAGCTGCTGCATAGCTCATTTTATAGAAATATTTCTGCTCTTTAAGGCTATTTGCGGAAAAACTTTCAGAAAAATTCTGGTCAAAGGAAGCATTTGACTCCAAATTTATGAGAAGAGAAGTTTAGAATTTTTTCGAGAAACTGCTATGAGCAATCGGCTAGTAAATAAAACGCCACCTGTCTATGGAGTTCTTTTATACTATTTCATTCGAAAAGAATTTTTGACGCTAACATTTTAGCTTTGAAAATAGTTTTTAAAGGAAGAAAGAAATTTTTTTATTCCATGTCCCAGAACTTTTTAAATAGGATGTCTACATCTATTTCTCTGAGTTAAAGTGTAATCTGCGTATGTTGCCACGTAGGTCGTCTTGTGACTTTATATAGACATCATCGCACAGTGGAAGGTGAAGGGATGTAGTGTTAGTATTTTCAATTTTCTCCTCGTTCCAATAGTTAATCGAGCGGATTCTTTTACTGAAAGATAGCTGGTTTAATTCTCTACAAAATATGTATTGACTGTTTTATTTCAAAATCCAAAGGTAAAAAATGAGATGAGAAATCCTATGAAGTACGCAAATGGAGAAAAAATAAGTTAAACAAACTCAACAAGTCAAACAAGTCATCGTTGACGTCCATTTCACGGTTGCAGTACCGAAGGGCTTTCCTAGTTTCTGATGCATTTCATCTGTCCGGCAGACAGAGAGTTTTAGAAATTTTGGGGTGGTCTGACATTCAAGAACTGTAATGAAATTCATAAGTTAACTTTGTTTTGCAAAATAATTAGAGGCGAAGCATCTACGTATCCCACTTCCGGTATAGAGATATCGTAG